TTCAACCGTCGTTGCCCGTTGCCTTCAACCGTCGTTGCCCGTTGCCTTCAACCGTCGTTGCCCGTTGCCTTCAACCGTTTCTCAGAGCTTAGCGGTTTCTCTCAGCTATGAGTTTGAGATCAATGGGTTTTTTCTGTTCAAACTTCGAACTTGCCTCTCTTTTTTGTTTTTGTTGGGACCAACTTCATTGCTGGATATTAAATTCGGGTTTGGGTTCCTCACCTACCCGATTGCACAACTTTATCCCAATTCTCCCCAGCCCTTGGATTGATCCAATGACTATAAAGTGAACCTCTTATAACTTACCCCTTATAACTTACCCCTCATTATAGTCTGGCCGCTAGAGTCTAGACTATATTTTATGAAGACTGTCCAAAATAAAATAGCCCATTCTAAAACAAAGCCCATTTTTGAAGCCCATTTCTCCTCGTCTCTCTCAAGCGCGGCATCAGAAGCCTCCTCCCTGAAGCTCTTTCTCTCCAGTGGCTCTAAACTTCTCTCACGTCTTTCGTCTTCTTCTTCTTCACTCTCTCTGAATCGCACATTGCAAATCTCCAGTCTCGATTCGCTATTCTCAACTCAAAGATCCTATATGATTTCTCAAAATCGGAATAGAAATTTCAGTGGTAATCTTCATCTCTCTCCCCCTCTCTCTCTCTCTCTCTCTCTCTCTCTCTTTCTTCTTTGCTTCTTCTCCTATTTCATCTGTGCTCTGTGTGTTTGGTTGTCGAGAAACCGTGCAAAAATGTGAAAGAATTTCATCAACTCATATACCGAGGCCGCTGGAGCCATCATCGATGTAAGTGCTCGTCTGATTCTATAAAATTACTCATTTTACTGAAAACTAAATGATTATGAGGTCTGGAAATATGTGGAGGAAGTAAATAATTGAGTATTTAACCTAGAAACTAGCTACCTGAGTAATTAATTGGGCTCTAGATTGCTAATTTAGCTGAGTGTTTATCTATTTGATTACTGGAAAATTGCTGAGTGTTTCTTTTTTCTAAGGTCATATTCGTATAAGAACTTAGGGACATAGGGGATTTATCACAGAGAGAGGTCAGCAACTCTGTCTTTTGGCCAGGCAGATTTAAGCAGTGTTTTGGTTTTATATGATCGATTTGCAAGGCATTTTGTTGGGTAGATGTACATGGAGAGACTATGTGACTAGATTTATGGTTTGTAACTTGTGAGGTTTGTAACTTGCGAGCAGATTTTTTACGTCCAATAGCAAGCTTTCCCATAAAACTCAACCAAGCTTTAGCGTTAATTCAGACATGGCTTCTCTTAATGACAGATCAGCTTCCATACCCCATTTCTTAAGGATCATTCTAGATAAGACTTCTAAAAAATACCAGAATTGTAAGCACCTCTCTCTCTCTCTCTCTCTCTCTCTCTCTCTCTCTCTCTCTCTCTCTATTACTATGCCTAGAATGTTTTCTCTTAACATGTTCTGTTCTGCAGAAAATTCCAATGAAGTTTTTGATGAGATATGGAGAGAATTTATCAAGTCCAGTACATCTTAAGCTTCCAAGTGGTGCAGAAATGGAAATAGAACTCAAAAGATCCAACGATGGTTGGGTTTGGTTTGACAACGGTTGGCTCGAGTTCTCAAAGTTGTGCTCTCTTGACTATGGTAATTCACTAGTCTTTGGATATGAAGGGAACTCCAACTTCTCTGTGTTTATATTTGATAAAACTGCTACAGAAATTGATATCCTAAGCCCGAGATGGAAGAAACTGATTCTGATTCTGAAGAAGATGATGATGATGATGAGTCAGGCCATGCCAGAGGAGAAATCAAAAGTACGTAATGTTATATTTGGTCTTGTATTGTTTACCTATATTGTGTTATCTACCAAAAAAATTAAGATACCACCTTATTTTAACAGGAGAGAATGATATGCCAACAAAGAAAGATTTTGGAGGCTCATCGAGCACTCGAATATTCATTAAACGAACACCTGATGTCCTTGGGAGGGCGCATCCATTGACTAAAAGTGAAAAAGCTCTGGCTCTTCAGAGAGCTAATGCTTTCGAATCTGAATATCCTTATTTCTTGGTTGCCATTCAACCGGTTTATATCCACCGAGGCTACCTGGTGAGCTTTCCATATAACACTCTGCTAACTCCTATTTCTAGATGTCAGTGTGAGAAAAGATTAAGCAAAGATACTTCCCTCTCAAAGAGCAAAATCGTAACTAGACTCTCTTCAAGAAAAAAAATAAAATAAAATATTTCTTATATATATATATATATATATATATATTTTTCCTAATTTCCTTCTTGCTTTAGCATTTGCCATCCGAGTTTGCAAGGAGACATCTTGTCAAGCGGCGTGCACGTAACATAATCCTTAAGATTTTAGATGGAAGAACTTGGCTTGTCGAATTCAAGTATGAAACTTCAGTAGCTCGATTCCAGCGTGCCTGGTTGGCGTTTGCAAGGGACAATAATTTGAAAGTCGGTGATGTGTGTGTTTTTGTGTTGATTGACTGCAATGAACGTTTATTTGATGTTTTTTTTTATCACACCAACAACGCTGAAGATTGTCCCATGTCACCAGGTAAATCTGTTCATTTGTGAATATATGCTCATTATGTCATTGTAACTTACACAGATTCTGTTTTTTGTTGTTGTAATTTTTCGGGAACACAGTCCATGGCGGAGGAGCAATTGATTGAGTTGAGAAAAGGAGAAACCCCATAATTAAAGTTGAAACTGATTGCACCACAAATTATGAAAATGGTGTGTCTTGCTCTCTTGACCCTTTTCTTGAAATTGGTTAGTCCACCAGAATGAGAAATTCCCAAAATTAAGGTTAAGGAATTGAGATTATATTTTGTTTCTTGTACTGTAGGCAAGTACAAAAGGTTGAAGACTGGTGGGCAGGTTACTCAAAGGCCTTTAAATTCATCTTCAAGGTCTCTTGAAGCTGCTAACAGGTTCACCCCAAAGAATCCATCCTTCAGAGTCACTCTGGGGTCAGCACGCCTGATATTGGTAGGTTCTACATACTTAATACAACTTTGCTTCAAACATAAATACTAGAAGTAAGCTCTATATATATATATATATATAAGTTGTCTATGTACTAGTTCTAAACAACCTCCATTACTTATTTACTAATACTCACTAGGTTTGTATAGAGTTTCATTTCCATATATCCATCTTATGCAGCATGTACCAGTTACATTTGCCCTTTGTTTCGTCAAAAAGAGGAAGCAAACCGTGACTCTTCAGGTCAGAGAGAGATCGTGGCCTGTGAATTTGATTGGTCATACTAAAGAATCAGGAGCTAAACTTTGTGGTGGCTGGCGTGAATTTGTGACGGAAAATTGTTTGATAGAAGGAGGTGTTTGTAAATTTGAGCTCATTGAGAGAAATGACATTGTACTGAAAGTTCACATTTTCAGATGTTGATTAGGCAAAGTTATGTCATTTAAAGAGGGATGCAGAGAGCTCAATTATCACATTTTGCTATGTACAATGGACCACTATTTGCTGTAGTTAAAGACGATATCTTGATACTGGGAGATCACTTTGTAATTTTAATGGTGTTAGTTGTTACGGTTTAAATATTTCTGATGTATGAATCATCTTTTAAACAAGTTTCCTAGGCAGACATGCATTCAGATCCCTTGTTTGTGCCTAAATAAATCACGGTCGTCAGAAGGGACCTCTTCTCGGCCGTGGCACCTGTTCGTGGACTGAAACGGCCACGTTTCGTCAAACATTTAGCCTTTTCGAAAACAGAAGAAAAATACGAAGGCATGATCTTCTCGGCCTCACAACCACGGCATTATGGGCCGAGGCCGAGGTCCATGAGAGACACGGCCAAAGATACTACGGTCAAATCGCCACGTGGCCTCAGGGTCCCACGCCCCATTTAATGAAGTAGTGCCTCTGACTGCCACAGCAAAACCACTGGGTGCAAGAAGCATTTAATGCACGAGGGCAGAAGGGAAGTGATTGAAGTCAGGATTTGGTAACAGGAATCAGAGTGGTTAGGCGGAAACATTCTCACAATGCATTCTCACAGCTTGAGGTCAGATCACCAACCACTGGACCAGAGCATTAAATGCGTTTCCACGGCCAGGAGTGTAGAGCCCACGATCAGGGCGGTGGCTGAGATTTGCCGAGATTTATGGGGGTCACACCACCATGCTTCACGATCCCAAATGCCGATTTGACTACCCACTTGCTCCGATCAGACTCCACCACGCAGATATTTTCAAGCCATTAGGCAGATCTTTTTTCAGCCTCGATTGGCCCTCCAGGACTCCTCCTATAAATACTAAGCTCAAGACCACGTTCAAGGGGTCCAGCACCAAACAAAAGCCTCCCACGGAGCAACTTATTTTTCCTGTAATGCATTTTCAATACTTTTACATGCTTTCCTAGGAGTAGTGGTAGATTGTAAGGAAAATCCATTCATCAATATATCATACGACCCTTGATTTTCAAGGCGCCGGAGCACCATCCCTGTTATCGCCTCATTTACCCCATATATCATACGATCGTCGCTCTCCGAGCAACGCGCTGGAGCACCGCCTAAAACCCACCACCAACACCACCACTAAACGGCCTTGTAGCTCAAGCCGTGAACCTGACGGCCGAGACCAGTTCCTCTCTCGGCCACAGTCGTTTGATTAGAAGTCGAACCCGAAACAGGCGCATCATTTGAACATCTTCTACCCAAACCCCATCACCATCTCGACGCACGATAGACCGTGCTGGCATGCCCGCGCACAACCGCACCGCATCCAAAAGGAGGACGTCACGTGTTGACGCACATCCTCTCGGCCCAGAGCACCAGGCCGCGAGATTTGCGACGTTTTAATTAGAAGTTGAACCCGAAACAGGCGCATCATTTGAACATCTTCTACCCAAACCCCATCACCATCTCGACGCACGATAGACCGTGCTGGCATGCCCGCGCACAACCGCACCGCATCCAAAAGGAGGACGTCACGTGTTGACGCACATCCTCTCGGCCCAGAGCACCAGGCCGCGAGATTTGCGACGGACCAACACTTTTGGCACGCCCAGTGGGACCATTGTCAAAAACCATGGTGGGAATAGTAGTGGAGGATCTGATGGCTAAGCAGGCTGACAGGATAGAGACATCCTTCGTGGTCGCAATGGACAGATTCTCCTCAGAATTACGGACGCTCTTTCAGGAAAGGATGCCGCCGTCATCCACGACACCTCCCAGAGACGGACAGAGAAGCCAAGCGTCAGGCTACGGCCAGCATTCTCAGCCATCGATCGATAACTGGGGGCAATCCCAGCCAACAAGGGTAAGTCCCGGGCCGACCTGCCCAGCAAAAATGGCGCGCGACCTACTCCATGCTTTGGCCGTATCATTAGGGAGAAGCAGCCCCACGCGTTCCGCGGCCTAGCAAACCGGCCCAGTTCATACCATGGTTGTCCAGCCCAACGCAACATGCACTCACCCCGGCCAAACCTACAGCGCTTATCTAATGCCGCACGGCTCGGCCGCAACGGCCGAGCCCTTCGTTCAAATGGCCCAGCAGACTAAGCCACCAGACGATAGGCCGCAGGTCCAGCGGCCACTTCCAACCCAGCTGGAGTCGCTCCCTCAGGGTCATCGGACCGAAGGGGTCCGGCGCGCGACCAAGGACGGCCTAGCCCAGAGGTGGCCGGAAACACCGAGTTGCACTGAGCCGTACCCACTTGAAAAGCTCAGGACTTGGCGCGACTTGCTCCCTAAGGTTTTTTGGGCGCGCCACACATCAAAACACTGGGCTATGGGCACATCCCCTTATGTCGAGACCTTCGGCCGTGGTATTAATAAACTAATAGAGCTAAAGGCTCAATTTCTTCGGGCTTTTAAGCGAGTTGGGCGAAAGACGAAGAGCTACGCGCTGATAGTGCCCTAGGGTTTAGAAAAGTTAGAACGATCAGGGCTCGACGCTTACAAATCGGTGCAAGTGCAAGAAAAGATGGCACCAAGGGCCTACGACAAAAAAGTCAAAAAGAAAAAAATGTGGAAGTAAGCAAGCGAGTTAGACAAAACGGCGTGGTATAAAAAACAACATACAAGGCATTCAGAAAAAGAGGCCCGCGCCTTATATTTGAATTAAGAACATTGTTTTTACCAAGAGAAGAAAAAGAACGGTCAGTCATGGCCGATCAAACAAAAAAAATATATATATACATATACTTGACCCCCTCACTAAACATCCCTCAGATCAGGCAGGTTATCCTTCTCCAGGCGATGTCTCCGCTGTCTATATCCGCCTGCCACCTTGCCTGGATCAGCTTCCTCTCGGCCAATGCCCTCTTCTTCTCAGTCGCCGCCTTGAGCATTTGCCTGGCCGAAGACTTCAGCTCAGTGCCGACCGCAACCACACCATCTCGGCTCTAAAGGATGAGGGCTCGACGGGCCTGGAGCTCGGCAATCTGAGCCTCGACCTGCACAAGTTCTTCATTCTCTCGTTGGACAACGAGGTCGTTCTCCTTCAAACGAGCCATGGCAGGTTGGACTTGTTCTTTGATCGCTGACAGCTCCTGCTCGAGCGAGCACTCCTCGGTCATCCTCAGGTTGGCCTCAGCGTATCGACTAATCATCTTCTCGCCCTTGGCCAGGCGTACCTGGAGCTCATCCAGCTGAGCTGAATCCAGCAGGCCCATCGCCATGGCCGTATCCAGGCAAGACTTGAACTCCATAAATGCCTCGGTCGTGGTCATTTGGTGAACCCCAAAAAAGAGGAACTCCCGGAGCTTTTCAACAACGGCCCTGGAATCCTTGTCCAAAGGAGCCGAGGCCGAGCTGCCTCCCTCTTCATGGAGGCTAGCATATAACTCCTCGAGATTATCGGAGGAGGTGGTCTCCTGAAGATAGGAAAAAAGGGGGTCAGAAAGAAAGCAACCAGCTGGGACATGAGGAATGACAAGGAGACAAATCTAGTACTCACTTGGGCGCCCGGCGGCGCACCAAGAGCTGCTGTAGCCGGAAGCTCGGTTAGGACCACCGAAGAGACAGGCGGTGAGCTCGGCACGTCAGTAACTGCGGCCTCAACCACTGCAAGTGCGGTCACCACAACCGACTCTTGAGGCAACGGCGCTAGGGGCATGCTCATAATGGCCGCGGATAACGGCAGCGACGACCGGGGAGGCTGAAAGCAAAATTTCGGTCAAAAGCGCGCGCCACAATTCAAAAATAAAATAAAATAAAACATAGTAAAAGCAAAGCGCTTACGGAGCGAAACACGATGCCGCTTAGACGATGGGGCGCGGAAGACACAACAGGGGAGGCCGAAGGAACTTCTGCCAGGGTGGCCCGCGTCTGTTCTACGGCAGGAAGTTCATTATCTGGCATATTTGCGGCAGGCTCCTCAGTAGCTGGCACTTCTTCAGCACCCAGCGTTTCGGTATCCTCGGTAGTGGCCACCTCCTCGGCCACCTCCTCAGCCACCTCCTCGGCGACTAACTCCTTGGGGTCGGCCGCCTCCTCGACACCCGGCGCCTCGGCAGCAGCCTCCTCCTCAACCTCTTCCTCGCCCTGAGAAAAAGATCAGATCAACAAAATAAACAAGGAGGGGAAGGGCGTGGCCTGGGAAAGAAAAAGGAGAAGAAAGTTCAAGGAGAAGTACTTACGGTCACGGGAGGGGCTTCACTCACAGCCACCAAAGGGACTTCCTCCTCGTCCTCGCCCTCCGAAAGATCAAGCAGGACCCTTTTCCTCGGCCGCTCTAACGCCACCGTCTCAACCACAGCAGTCTCGGCCAGCGCGGCCTCAACCACTGCGGCCTCGGTGCTTGAGGCTTCTCGACCCCTCTTGCGACCCAGGGCTACATGTACAAAGAAAGAAGCAAAAAAGTTAAGTAAATAAACACAAGGACAAAGGCGGCTCAGAAAGACCGACGGAAAAAACATAGAAGAGGGCTTACCAGCAGCAGCAATTGGTCGAGCCGGCGGGGAAGATGGCACGGTCCTATGCGCCAATGTCTTTCGCGCCCCCACCACAGCCGGCGTTCTAGAGGTTGGAGCCGCAGTTGAAGTCACGACCGCTGCTCTGACCGAAGGAGCGACCGCCACCCTGGGCATGGCCACGGCCGGTGTACTCGGTCGTGAAAGCACGGCCGGTGTACTCGGTCGTGAAAGCACGGCCGGGGCCTTCTTCACCTTGCCAGCCTTGGGAAGGAGGGGGTCCCAGTCTGCATTCTTTAGGGCTCCCCTCATGGCCTCTTCAACAGGCCGAATAAATCTGGCAGAGATGCACTCCTCGTACCAGACCCTTCCATCTTCGTTGACCGCATTACGACGCATCCACGACCTCAGGGTAAGAAAGGTCATCCCTTTCTGCAGCTGGATGGAGATCCCAGCCACGCCGTGCTGATGGGTGACGTCGGCCCTCCATGACGAGAGCCGATTGAGTGACAGCGGCGGGAGCGGTGCAGTCTGGATCAAGCCAAATTGCCACGCCACAAAATGTGGCAAATAGACTTCGGCCCCGGCCTTGGATAGGCAGCAGAGGAGGTCCCCCGCGACCAGAAAGGAGCCCCAAATCTCCTTCAGATCATTCTCCGTTTCACCGTCA